AATAGCGGCAGTTTTCAGGAGCTTATGTTAGCCCTCTCTCCCCGCTGTAATCCATTTTTATTCCCCCTCGCTCAATTTCTTCCCAAAATAGATCTCGCAGATTTAGTTGCTCTCAAGCCCAAAGGTGCCATCTTTTCTCAATTTCCTTCTTAATCTCTCTAATTTTGGTTGCTTATTTTCGTTTACTACTACTCGAAGTAGGCTTGGATTCTGATTCATCTCTAAATTTCCAATTTTGGGCCGTTTGATTGCTTACTTTTGGCTCCAGCCTTTTTGGGTCGCACTAGAGAACATGGATTTTCCTTCAGTTGCTATGTTATCTTGTGATTTGACTCGTTTCTAGTGTTCAATTGGAAAAAAGCTGAGATCTTGCTTGTTGAAGTTTAGGTTTCAATAGATTGCAGCGACAAGATGCAATTGTTTGTGCTTTTGATCGTGTTAGGGTTTATTTATGCTTGCAATGCGTATACACCAGTAGATAACTATTTGATAGATTGTGGGTCTTCAACCAACACAACGATTGATGGTAGGGTTTTCCTTCAAGATCTCTCAGTTTCCTCGTCAGTTTCGACCCCCGAAAAAATCCTTGCAAGTACTACATCCAATTCAGCCTCTTCCTTTGACAACTCAGAACTCTACCGAACTGCCCGAATCTTCACTGGTCCTTCGTCTTACTCATTTCCAATTAAGAAGCAAGGCAGACACTTCATTCGCCTCTATTTCTTCCCATTCGTGTACCAAAAGTACAATCTTACTTCTTCTAAGTTCTCGGTCTCAACCGAAAGTTTCCTCCTCGACAATTTCGATGCACAAAGCAATGCAGGTCCTGTGTTTAAAGAGTACTCTTTGAATATAACGTCCGATACCCTCATCCTTGGTTTTACTCCGTGGGAAGGATCATCCATCGCCTTTGTTAATGCCATTGAAGTCGTTTCGGTCCCTGATGATCTTATAGGGGGTGATGCGCAAATCTTGAATCCTCCGGGGACTTATAAGGGTTTACCTGAAGAAGCATTGGAATTGGTTTATCGAGTGAATATGGGCGGGCCAAAGGTTGCTTCCAGCCAAGATAGTTTGGGGAGAACTTGGATTCCTGATCAAACCTTTATGCTCGATGTCAATCTTGCCAACCCTAAAAATTTCTCGGGAAAAATCAACTACCAAAAGGATGAAGGAGCAACTGAAGAAACTGCTCCTCGTATTGTTTATGCCACAGCGAGAGAACTGGCCACTTCGGACACCCCAGATGAAAATTTCAACATGACATGGGAGTTTAATGTAGATTCAAACCCTTTATACCTTGTTCGGTTGCATTTTTGTGATATAGTTAGTGAAGCTCTCAATCTTCTCTACTTCAATGTGTATATCAATGGCTTGTCAGCGCTTCGTGATGTTGATTTATCTACGCTTATGGTGAATAAATTGGCTGCACCTTATTATGCCGATTTTATTGTTGGGGTCAGTGATGGATCGAATAAGCTTCGTGTTAGTATTGGGCCTTCGACCCTTAATAGCGTGAAGTCAGATGGGATCCTTAATGGGCTTGAGGTGATGAAGATGAATGTCTCTGATGGGAGTTTTGATGTGGGAAGTGTTGCAAAAAATAACCATACTGTTATTTTGGGATCAGTTCTTGGTGCAGTTGCTTTTACAGTGATTTTAGCTTTGGTTCTTGCTTTCATAGTGCAAAGAAGAAAAATGGCAGGAAATCAACATTCGAAATCGTGGGTCCCTTTCTCTGTGTTTGGATTCAGCATAGCTGGATCCTCAAAGGGAAGTATGATTTCATCCCTTCAACACACAGATATGGGGCTTCAGTTCTCCTTCATTGTATTGCAAGAGGCAACACAAAACTTCGATGAGAATCAAGTAATTGGAGTTGGAGGATTCGGCAAAGTCTACAAGGGAATTCTAAGGGATGGCACTAAAGTTGCAGTGAAGAGAGGAAACCCAAAATCTCAGCAAGGTCTTAGAGAGTTTCGAACTGAGATTGATTTGCTCTCTAGACTTCGTCACCGACACTTGGTCTCTCTCATTGGCTACTGTGATGAGCGAAATGAGATGATTTTAGTTTATGAGTACATGGAAAAAGGAACTCTTAAAGGACATCTCTATGGCTCGGATTTTCCTCATCTCAGTTGGAAGCAAAGGCTTGAAATTTGCATCGGATCAGCAAAAGGGCTTCATTATCTTCATACGGGTTCAGCAAAGGCTATAATTCACCGTGATGTGAAGTCTGCTAACATTCTCCTCGATGAAAATCTCATGGCAAAGGTTGCGGATTTTGGGTTGTCAAAGACCGGACCCGAATTGGATCAGACCCATGTGAGTACTGCAGTTAAAGGGAGTTTTGGTTATCTTGATCCTGAGTATTTTCGAAGGCAACAATTAACAGAGAAATCTGATGTATACTCATTTGGCGTGGTGCTTATTGAAGTTCTTTGTGCAAGACCTGTTATTGATCCTACTCGACCAAGGGAGATGGTGAATTTAGCAGAATGGGTGATGAAAATGATGAAGAAAGGGGAATTAGAGCAAGTTATTGATCCTCATCTTGCAGGAAAAATTAAGTCTGATTCCTTAAGGAAATTTGCAGAAACTGCAGAAAAATGTCTTTCAGAGTATGGAGTTGATCGTCCAGCGATGGGGGATGTTTTGTGGAATCTCGATTATGCCCTTCAGCTTCAAGAAGCAGGACCGAGCGAACTCGAGGATGATAGCGTCAATAGAATCTCTGAACTTCCTTCACAAGTTAGAAATATCGGCACATTTGATTCTGCTGCATTAGAGGAGGGGCTTGCTGCAAATATTGGGGATGATTCAGAAGTCTCCATGAATAGAGTTTTCTCTCAGTTGATCAAGTCAGAGGGGAGGTAGAATTTGTTGTGGATTTTTTGTTGCATTTTACGTGTTCTAGGGATCTATTTGTGTTTGCATGAGAGTTTGATTACGGATTTTTTTTAATTGTTTACTTGTATGGTTGATTCTTGTAACAAACATCCTTGCGCCATGAACATGGTGTGAATTCTTTGTACTGTACATCTTTATTATGTTGAGGAAATTCTTTATTTATCTTAGATTCTTAGTTGATTCTCTTTTTGGTGACATTTTAATTTATCTTTTCCAAATCTTTGTGGAGCGGGACATATATTTGTCTGTCATTTTAAAGGATGTGTGGAAAATTCGCCAACTCCCCCCCTCCCCCTTTCTTCTGATGAATGCTTATGGGGGTTCCACTGGATTCTCAAAACCAAGCATCACACAATTCACTAGTTTCAGATTTGTTTCATTGGTTTACATGTATATCACTTTTAGCCATTGTCAACATATTTCACATTTTTATTTGTTGCGTGAGTTCATGATTTTTAATTTGTGTACCTTAGGATGGTCTTCATAGAAATTTGTTTATTGAGAGAGAGAGAGAGAGAGAGAGAGAGAGAGAGAGAGAGAGAGAGAGAGAGAGAACAAGACACACAAACTATAATAACGTTTAAGAACCTCCATTGGCTTATGAATTCTGTTGACAACACCTTTTCATGTTTACCATAAAAATCTGTTTGCAGATATCATGGGTCTCTTTGGGACAGTAATAAGTTTTATATTGATGTTTGTATAATGCATGACATCATGATCTGGTTTTACAATAAACTAGAAAGTTTTTCATCCCAAGGAATCTTTAGGTAATTCAAAGTTTTAAGGAACAATAGCTATTGTTTGGAGAAAACTTGTACAAAAACTGCATTAATTTAAGAGAAACTTCCATGGACTGACTGCATGAAAATTAACTATCCAATTGATAGGAGGCATAGAGGGTGTTGATGGTGACTAGCTTTGAAAGAATAATGATAACTCTAGTAATCCCTCCTACACTGTTGCTACACTATAAAAAAGAAAAGTGTAAAAAAGAGAAGTGTGAGCTCCATTGATAAGTCATCGGTTTTGGGAAAAAAAGAAAAGAAAAGAATGGACCCAATATTTTTCTCTCTTTTAGGGGTTGTTTGGTTTGCCGCAAAAATAAATTGCAACAAACGTTGCCAGCATCATTTATCATAGGAAATCAACTCCAAATTGGTTATTTGGATATTTGCAATTATGTTGTGGGAGATGTATCTATTCCTTTATACAAAAGGGAGAACCAGAGAGTCATTGTTCATGCTACATTAGATTTACTGTAGCACTAGCACTGTAGTAGATAATTAATTTAAAAATATTACTGTAGCACACGGGATACTGTAGCATTTTAAAAGGTACTGTAGCAGAACGGGATACTGTAGCATTACCAGAAAATTCAAAACAGGAGACGTTAAAAAGGCGGGAATACTGTAGCAAAAAAACCGTGCTTTGCACGGACAGCAGACTAGTTCACTTAGGTTGAAAAACAATTAGTGGAAAAGCTACATAATGTTGCCATATAAGGAAACTTATTGTAGATGGATTTTGAACTTGGATTTAAAAAAGATTTTATCTTATGAGGTCAGATTATATTTATTTTTTGGTGTTCTTTTTTGAAGGCTGCAACTTTTCCTCCCACCATAGTGGCCATAGTATTTGTTACAAGTCTTTTCTACAAAGTACAACTCCATTTACATTTGGTAACTACAAAGTAGCAAACCAAACAGTGCATATACAAAATCCATGGTTGCTCTATTTACTCTTATAACTTCATTTTTGTCCAACCAAACAACCCCTTAATATAGAAGCAATGTAAAAATAGTAGCGTAGTTTCTGTTGCTCATTTCAAAAGGTCTACTTATATAAATCAAACTTAAAAGATAATAAGGGGTGCAACATGGTAATAAAAGACATCAATGTGTGACTAACCCTAATTTTATTCTTATCATTATTTTCATCCTCTATTACCTAAGAAGTTACCACAATCCAACAACGCGTAGATATAAAGACCAATGGTTTATCGAGATCTTCAAATAGGGTAAAAAATTGGGTAATTAGCTCATATATCTTCACCGTAATTGATCTTCAAAACGACAGTCTTTGGCGAAGTGTCCTTTCTTCTCACGGTTGTAGTAGCTACTGTCACTGTCGGGTCTTTTTGCTCGACGATCACCTTGCTCCTAACACTGTTGTGTTCTGAAATTTAATTGTGGTTTTTAGAGAAATGATAAGCTTTTTATTGTGATTGAGAGGGACCTGAATCTCTTGACATCTTGATCTCTCGATTAGGTTGTGAACTGTTGTACACTTGACAGTTTCATTGGTACTGAGGTACTCCTCGTCGAAGACATCGATAGCGATATTTGCGTTTGGACTCATCATGCATCTGTTTGGAGTCAATTCAGCAGCGGAGCAATATTGAACGGCGTACGGACAGATGCCCCCACTAAATTTGTTTTTGCACTATACACATTTCATGTATTATATTTACCATTGACGCTTAGCTTAATATTTGCCGCTACTAATTTTTTTCTAATATTTATTAATGCAACCTAGCTCAGTATTTTCATCCCCTTGATATTTTAAACACATGGGTATGATTTACACTTTTAATTTTATTATAGCCCTGTTGTAGTTAAATAATTTTTTGTTATTATGTGACGTGCATTTTAAATTACGTCTCATATAATGATTTTTGAATAATTGTAGTTAGACTGTGACTGAGGCCTACAACTTTCAGCGGTTTTCAAACATAACTCTTAAAATCATAAACCACAATTTTCATTGGCAAAAATATCTCCGGTATAGTTTTACTCACCCATACGTCACTTGGGAGATTTTGTGAAGAACCTTAAAGCTAAAGAGCTACCGGTAGGGGTGTCCAAAAAGCCGGCCGGCCCAGGCCCGGCCTCGGCCAGGAAACCCGGGCCAAGTCCGGGCTCCGGGCCGGGCCCGGGCCGCCTTTTTGGTGCCCGGCCCGGCCCGGAATAGTTTTTTTTTATTTTTTTTTTATTTTTTTATATGTATTATATATGTATATATAATATATTTTTATATATGTATAATATATGTATATATATATATATAATATATGTATATATAATATATTTCTATATATGTATAATATGTGTGTGTATATATACTCTCTCTTATATATGTATAATGTATGTATGTATGTATATATATACTCTTTCTTATACTATACATGTATATTGTGTGTGTGTGTGTACTCTCTCTCTTAGTATATATGTATATATAAGTATACTCTCTCTTATATATGTATAGTCTCTCTTATATAAGTATATATAAGTATACACTCTCTTATATATGTATAATATATGTGTGTATATATATATACTCTCTTTCTCTCTTAGTATATATGTATATATAAGTATACTCTATCTTATATATGTATAATATGTGTTTGTGTATACTCTCTCTCTTAGTATATATGTATATATAAGTATACTCTCTCTTATATAAGTATATATAGGTATACACTCTCTTATTTATATATGTATAATATGTATACTCCCTCTTATAAAGGTATACTCTCTCTTATATATCTATACTCCCTCTTATATAAGTATACTCTCTCTTATATATGTATAATATGTGTGTGTATACTCTCTCTCTTAGTATATAAGTATAGTATATTACAACGGCTACTTCTTCCCCACTGGCCCAACGGGCAATGGCTACTTATGCGATTTTCTCTCTCAAGTTATAGATTATAAATATATATAATATATTTACATATAATATATGTATATATAATATATATAATATATAGTTACATAATAATTTATAAGTATATACTAATACATAATTATATAAAATATAATAAATTTAAACTAATTTTTAGCATTTTTTATCAAAAAAAAAAAGAAAAGAAAAAAATTGAAAAAATTTCGGGCCGACCCCGGTTTACCCGGGCCCGGATTTCCGGGCCGGGCCGGACCGGCCCGGATGGACAGGCCTAGCTACAGGCGTTATCTAAATTAGTTATTAGCCATAAAATAGTATTCTCGTCAGACTTGAACCTAATGAAGATAACAAAGCGAGTTCAGACAATTTCGTCCATTTTTCAACGAAGTAAATAGATCTAAAGTAAAAGCCATAGCCCACATTTTGTAAATAGATCTGAAGTAAAAGCCATAGCCCACATTTTGTCTCTGTGATATTTGTATTTTAAGTACCCGCATCAACGTCTCTGTGATATTTGTATTTTAAGTACCCGCATCAACGTAATGTAATTAAAAATAGAGATTCTCTATCAAAAAAAACTTATTGGAGTAATGAAATTTAGCCTATTTGTCTAAAAACGCTAAATAGTTTAGTTGTAGATTAACTAATTGAAAATGAAATTAGTTCATCGACGAGTAAAAGCACGCGTAACTTTTTCAGCTATCAAAGTCAAATAGTTTTAAAATATTATATTTTATTTTTAGATAAACGTTGGCGTGCATTTTGCTGCAAGAACTTCGTCAGTTACATAAACATTCGTCAGATTGCTACAAGAATGTCGTCAGCTCTTTCTTCTCAGTTGCGTAAAGATTAGCGTCTATATGAACTACAAAGTAACCTAGACAAATCCACCAATATATAAGAATAAACCAATAACCCTAAACAACCACAATTGTTCCAACGGCCCCCCCTCCTTTCAAATACAAAATTTGCATCTTATTTAGCTTTCCCTTTACTCATCCTTGCGCTTCTGAGATATCCTCGCACCCTCCGAAGAACTCATACATCTCCCCACAAGCTTCAACACTTCATCGATAAGAATCACAGGGAAAGCGACGGCCAAAACCAAGAGCCACTCGTTGAGACTCAACGGCACAATTCCAAACACACGAGCAAGGAAAGGCACATAAAGAATCAAGAAATGCAACCCAAACGAAACGGACATGGCCACGAGCAGCCAGGGATTGACCCATGGAGGCATGCTCAGGAGACTGCCGTCCTCAGAAAGGGCGTTTAGGGAATTGAACATTTCAATGGCTACTAAGACCGAGAGGGAGAGCGTCATGGCCTTTATTTTACCGGTTTGGAAATAGTCGCAGGGGCTGGAATCGAAGGAGAAAGTTTGGTTTCCGGCTGTGAAGGGGTTGACCTTGAAGTTGTCCCAAGAAGAGCACTGGCCCCAGTTTGAGAGTTGGGAGTATGTGACTAGGGTGTGACCGTCGTTGGTCAAGTTGATCCCGAGGAAGGAACTCTGGGTGTACCAGATGATGAATACTCCTACCGTAGCAATTCCAACATAGAGACCAATGACCTGCCGTAAGGAAAAGTAAGAGATTGCTTATGCATGATATAGAAGTGTGACGAGAAGAGGACAATGTAATATGTAATTTGAAGATAAACTAGAGGTAGAAGATTCAAGAAGGTTAGGTTTCCTTGACCGATTTACTGATCTGCAATCTGATCTTTTGATGATAAGGATCAATCATTCAAATATAGGCGAAAGTGTATTGAGTGGTGCTAAAAGTTTGCTATGCATAAAAAAAAATGAAACAAATGTAAAATAAATTAAGAAAATGGTGTCCACGAGTTATTCCTAAGAACTTCAATTTTGTTTACTTTTATCTATTTGAGGGCATCATGAAGCTTTGGCAAGTAAGAAAAACATGCACAAAAAATCTGTAGCAGAAACTCGAATGTTATTGTGGACAAGTGAATACACACTAGGATAGAGGTTGCTCCTATTGAGGACAAAATGAGAATACCTAATGCTAGTTAGGTCATGTGCAACGAAGCTCTTAAATGCACAAAATAGAAGCGAGAATCTAGTAATCATCCATCACAGATTCACAGGCAATATGAGCTTTTGATAAAATTATCATTATGACTAGCAAACCATACAGTAGATCCACACTAACCATGGCAATAAAAGGAAGAGAAGGAGAAAATTACTTACCAGATAGCGGAATAAGATCCACGCGGTGATCAAGGAGTCATCACTCCTTCGCGGGGGTTTCTTCATGATATCTTTATCAGGAGGGTTAAATCCAAGAGCAGTTGCAGGAGGACCATCTGTTACAAGATTGACCCAGAGTAGCTGAACTGGTATCAACCCCTCAGGAATACCTAATGCTGCTGTTAGAAAAATACAGGCAACTTCACCAATGTTCGAGGAGATCATATACCTGCAACAATAAACAAAACATGAATCAAACTAAGCAGTATACAGCATGGTAGTAATACAAGATTTCAGAAAGGGGAAAGCTAATCAAATCTGTGACTGGAAAGTTTATTAGAACAGCCAAGATAAACTGAAGCATAGAAGGTAAAAATGACCTTATGAAGGCTTTCATATTGTTATATATTGATCTCCCTTCACCAACAGCAGCAACTATAGTACTGAAATTATCATCCGCTAACACCATATCAGAAGCCTCCTTAGCAACCTGCACAAAGCAAATTTTAGGGTAATAAATGTCAATGAATAAGCAGAATGAAATATGCCTCAGTTAATTTTCTTTGTTTCAGTCCTTTATCAATCACAATTTAGACCTATGTGGATTGTGCCATAATATTCCCAAAATTTCTAGCTATGAGCCTTGGGCAAATGCTAAATGTGTAATTAAGATAGACAAAGCAAATTGCATGTCTCATAATCGCTATAGCACTCAATGATGTTATATTGTCCCTAGACTATCCTTATATCATTTTTCTTTGGCCTAAAAAAATCTTCTTCAAGATCAAGTCCATTCCATAAAGCAAACCTAATATCAAAGTTGAAACTATATGAAAAGACTTAAATGAATACTACAAAGTCCATTCCATAAAGCAAACCTAATATCAAAGTTGAAACTATATGAAAAGACTTAAATGAATACTACAATGCTGAAAAGTTACACATATGATGGTTGAAACTATATGAAAAGACTTAAATGAATACTACAATGCTGAAAAGTTACACATATGATGGAATCCCTGAACACTAATGAGAGACTAGGGAAAAAGTAATATGTGAAGAACATTTGTTAAACTTCAAGGAAATTGACACAGCTAGACCACACTACAAAATTTCATGACCATCCAAGCAAGTTTAAGACTTCAATCAAGAAGACCCTAATAGAAAGCCAAGCATCTGCAGACTCCAACAGAGTAGAAAAAGACAAGGAATGCAAAGAAAGTACCTCTGTCCCAGCAATACCCATAGCAATGCCAATATCAGCCAATTTCAGTGCTGGGGCGTCATTCACCCCATCGCCTGTCATTGCAACCACTTCACCATCCTCTTTGAGCAATCTTACAATTTCTTGTTTGTGCTTTGGTTCAGCCCTAGAAAAAAGAAGGCCACCTTGTTGCCTTAGCTGTAATTTTTTATCAGGAAGCGCCATAAATTCTCTCCCTGTGAAGCTTTTCAAACTGATGTCTTCATGAGGTGTAAATACACCAATTTCACGGCAAATTGCTTCTGCTGTGTCTTTATTATCACCCGTTATTACCATAACTTTAATTCCAGCTGCTCTACAATCCTCAATTGCTTTATGAACTTCAGCACGAGGAGGATCCTACAATAATCATGGTTATAGTTAATTAACATAATTGCAAATATCAAAAGGCAACCAAAAAATTGGTTTAATTATATATGCCAAAGAATGTTATCTTACCCTTAGACCAACCAATCCAACGAAAATAAGATCACTCTCAATCGATGAATAATTAGATGGATCAAGGAGAAGCTTATGTGCAGGATGGTCTTCGCCATCATAAGTACTGAATTCTGAAAGATCTTCCTTGTACGCAAAACCTAAACAGCGTAGAGCACCAGTTGACATTTCGTGAAGGGATTCTAGAATTAACCCTTTCGAATTTTCATCAAGCTGGACAACAGAACCATCGAGCAACTGAATGTAGGAACTTCTTTCCAACAAATTCTCAACAGCCCCCTGAACAAAAATGCAGATTTATTTAGCAATACTTCAGAAGTTTTCTATAAGAAAATGAAGAAAACAAAGTAACTTTGCCTTAATAGAATACTTAGAAAAATACAATGTAAGAGGAGCATACATATATTTGTCAATATTCCACAACTAAATATTTATATTTAGCTTTAAATCACGCAAAAACAGGTTTTTTCGTAATTGTTTCCATCTCAAACATCACTAACTTCACACCAAGAAAATAAAAGATACTTTGGCACCCATGCAACGACACTCACTGAAGGCCCCCATTTCCCTGTCCAACACACATTCCACTAATAAAAGTGAAAAATACTTGGTAGACATGTGCCTGGCTCTTGAAAGTAGATCTTATGTCTTAACAACCTTTTTGCATTTCTTCAATTTTATTTGCCTATTTTGACTGTTGAGCCGATATCATATTTTTTGCAATTCATGTTACATAGAAAATATTACATCCACAATGTTTCCACATATCCTATGTTTTTCTTATAGAAATCTACTAATAGAGAAGAGTACCTTTACGAATAACGAATTGTTTCCTGGTTTTGATCTTACAATAACTCCCATAGATTTTCTAGTTCGATCAAATTCAAGAGTCGCCACCCTACGTGCAACATCATTCCACCATTGGCAGCATTCTGAAAGCAGACTGATACATAAGCATACTGATAAAAATATTGTTTCAAAACTGTGTACAGTATAGTCTACATACTTAATGCTTCAGCAGATCCTGAGATTGAATTGTTTGTGTCACCTGGAAGCCCCATTTTCTCAACCAGAACCTGGTAAACAGATATATTTATACACAACTAATGTTAGTAAACACACACTAAGATCTGATGCATTACTCCCACCAAAATACACACTATTCTAACTACTCCAGTAAAAATATACATGCATACCATAATTTATGAAATGTATTCTCTAATAAACAGTGAACTAAAACAACCAACATCAATAAAGAAAAATCGCATTCACATTTAAAGATATGGACTGGAATAACTTTTATTTCCTAACCGGCAGAAAAGTATACAAACAATGCTGACTGGTGAAAGATCCTGCAAATTTCTTACTAAAAGATCAGGTAGAGCTATCTGAAAGGTAGGCCAAACTGCTGCTTAAATTGGTATTAGCTATATACAAATAAATAAATAAGAAAACAGGGTACAACCTAGATAGATTTGGGCGTAAGTCACAAATTGCAACCTTTTTGAGCAAATATAAGATTTAAATTATAACTCCGCAAAGCAAATACTTACAGCTACAATTCCAGCTGCAAATTGCAAAATTTAAAACTGAACCAAGCAATTGCAAATGCAATTACAACTGCATGCGACAGCATTTACGACAACTGCAGTTGCATGCACTGGCATATGCATTGCAATTACAATTGCAATGAACTAAACAGTCGCAGTTCCTATCTGAAATAAAGTACAAACAGCTACTTAATTTTGACTTCCAGAAAAGATTAGATTTTTACCTTCAAAGCAGCCTCTGTTGGCATGCCACTAGCAACAAACTGATTCCCAGAGCTAGTAACATTAGCATCATTGCAAACTGAAGCAATCTTAGCAATCATCTGCAAATTCTCATCCATCCCACTACTAGGCCAATCATCAATCTTCCCGTTGCTAGGATCATAACTCGTCCCCTCGACCCTGAAACTCCTCAAACTATCCGGCCCCCTCCCAGGCCACCAATTTCACCGCCGACATCTGATTTGTCGTCAATGTCCCTGTCTTATCTGAACAGATCACGGTCGTGCACCCCAAAGTCTCAACACTAGGCAACTTTCTAACTAGTGCGTTCTTTTGAGCCATCTTCCTCGTTCCCAAAGCTAAGCAAGTCGTGATTACCGCAGGCAGACCCTCGGGGATCGCTGCAACCGCCAAAGCCACCGCAATCTCAAAGTAATACGTGCACTTCTCAAACGAAAACTTGAAATTCCTCGGAAACCCATCAGCATACTCCCAAGTTAAGAAGTATTTCACATTGATTAACCAGACCAAAGCACAAATAACCCCAATTATCGCCGTCAAAGTCTCCCCAAACTCATTCAGCTTCTTCTTCAACGGAGTATCGTCTTCCTCCTGCGAAGCTTCGTGAATCTGAGAATGAATCTTGCCAATCTCGGTGTTCATCCCCGTCCTGGACGTAACACATGCCAGACAAGCAGCACCATTGACAACGGGTCCCCGCGAAGACCATGCACTCTTTCCCCTGAATGTCAGCGTCCTCGCTGTCAACTTTATGAATTAGTCTTGTTCACAGCAGCGCGCTCTCGTCCTCGCTCCGGTGAGCGAACCCTGCTCGACTCTCAAAGTCGAGTTATCAAGAAACCACCTCAATGTCAGCAGGAACCTTAATCTCCAACCCTAAGAACGACAATATCCCGGCCGCACAAGCTCCTTCGCCGGCAAACTAGGGACCAGCTCTCGCGTCTTCTTACGCGGCGCGTGCTCACGATTGATCTCCCTTCACGGCCTCGAGCGCCTTCTCCGCGTTGCTCTCCTGCCAAACCCCGACGACGGCGTTCACCATCAAAATCAAGAAGATCACCAGCGGCTCCACGAACGCGGTGATGCCCGGCGTCTCCCGTCCTCTCCGCCGCTGATTCCAGGCGAGGGCGAAGGAGACGAACGGCGGGCGACGAGGAAGGATGCGGACAGGGTGTGCGTTGAACTGATCGAGAACGAGTTGGAACACGGAGGGGCCGGAGTGCTTCTCAGACTCGTTCCAGCCGTGATATTCCGGCGCGGGGGACGTCTCCGGCGGCGAGGCCGCGGTCGGCGGAGACGTCGAACGCGGACTCGCATTCAGGGATGGATCGGGCCCAGGCGGGGAAAGATCCGAGATCTTGGCCCCCTTTACCCATTTGACAAACCCTAGATTGAGAGGTACAAGAGAACAAAAAAATTTTTTTTTTTTGGGGATTTGGAAAAAGACGGGATTTTTAGGGTTTATATATATTGTGCTATGTCGTTGCTTGCTTCGTTTTAAAAAGGTTTTGAGTTTTTTTTGGGAGGGGAGAGCGGTGTCGCCAATAAGCAAGGAGTCGAGGGAATATTTAAATTGATAAATTTCGTTTTTTTTATAAGCACCGGCTTCAGTTGGCCCGCTCGTGATTTGTCATGTGGGACCCACTGCTTCTCGGTGTGGGTATGTACTTGCGTGAATAATTCAACTGTGGAAAATAGTTTGACTGTGTTTCGAAACCGAAGTCACGATCGATGACGTCACTATTACCAGTAATTCGATAGTTGTTTCTACTTGCAATTTTTGAGTAAAAATATCTAACTATTTTAAAGAGTCTACGTAAAGCTACAACTTGAAAGAAATATGAAAACTATCTTAAAGCAAATATTTTCTTTAAAATGTATATTTATTTAAGATTATTTCGGCCATTGAATGTAATACTCTTTTTTTTTTAAAGACAGGTAGGGTACCTAACCAGTCAAGTTCTCAACAACACTCTGTCTCAAAAACAAAAGGACAGAAACAGACAAAAAACAAGAGGACAAACAATCAACCGACTTAGCTAGGAAATGAGCAACGTCATTACCCGTACGTTTTACATAAGAAACTTTAGAGCAGCCAGTAATAGTCAGACCAACGCGAACTTCATCTGCAATAGGAGCCAAGGAAGCAAAAGGAGAAGAAGAATCCACCAAAGAGACAACCTTTAGAGAGTCAATTTCCACCACTGAAATCCTTTAGTTCATACGTCGAACAAAGCGAATGCCTTCCAGGACAGCCAACAGCTACGCATAATCCACAGACATAAGACCCCTGATCCCCATAGAGTAGCAACCAATCACTAGTTTCTGACTTCTAAATAACAAATACAATTTGATCCGAATTTTTTAACGCATATCCCGATATATGGATTACATACATGGATCAAAATATTTTAATTTATATACGTAACGTTTCAAAAATTAAAAAGATATTCATAACTATACATTCGTCCCATTTAGTATAGTTATGTTTATTTGTATCCCAAAAAATTATTCTTGTAAATATATTGGATGGGTATGTGTATCCACTTATTTAATCAGCATACATGTTTCGTCTTTTTGTCCTTTTCCCGTTAATTCCATTTTTAACCTACCAAGTGAGTATTTCAAATAAAAAAAAAAACATAATTTTATGAACTTTACATCAGCTTCATACTTAAATTACTCAATCTTGGAGAAAAGTATGATTATATTAGGATCGGCCGTCTAATTTTAGATTTGCTTTTTTGGGGCGTAAAAAAAAAAAGGAGAGTCATGTTTGGTTTAAATTGCCATAAAGTAGGTAGGGAACCTACGCTTTTATTTATGCTGCCTCGTCAACCGAGCTCCACGAAACTTCGAGGAAACTTCCTGGAGTTTGAAAACAAGTATAGAAATGGGTCTGTGAATATTAACTGTTCAAAAAGTTTGGTAGTCTCATTTTCTTCTTATTTTTGGAATTTGGAGGATGTCCTGTGAAAGAACAGAAATAAAAAACCTCATAAATAATATAATTTAGAAAATATTACTAATATAGTTTTGTTTGAATAATGCATGTCTATGCCATTATTCGTATAGGTCTTATGCAGCCGGCATATAAAGTAAGTCTACCACTTTCTATATGTAGATGGAATATTTAGAGTGTTGTTTGTTTATTTCGATGTATCGCAGAAGGAATTAAACTTTAACTTGTTCTTTTCATCACTAGGCATATTCTTTGATCCAATATCATCAAAATTTAATTTTTTTAACGATTAGTAAGTTAAATATCAGAAAAACCCTATAAGTTAGGTCCCTTTTGGGATAACCCGAAAAAGATTGGAAATATGATCGCCTAAGGGGTTGTTTGGTTCAATTTCTACAAATTATAGGAAATGTTTTCCGTACAAAATATGATTTCCTTGTATTTCTAAAAAAAATTATAGGAAAAGTTTTGAGAAGTCAAAAAGTACCAATTTTCTTTTTTTTTTTTTACTTAGTTTGTTTGGTTCAAAATAAGAAAATAGCCCATAACTTTACAGAAAATAACAAGATTTCCTATAATTTGTAGAAATTGAACCAAACACCCCCTAAATTTATAGAAAAGTATCAACTTTATAGAAAAATGTCAATGTGGTGTTAGATTTCTGGGTGATTTCCGTCCATTTTGAGAGAAAATTAATTTCCGTAAATTTTGGTATTTTTTGGTATTTTATAGAAAACATTTCTATACATTTTTTTTTGAACCAAACACACTTTACGGAAATCTACATAAAATTTTTAATTACAGAATTACCATTGTCAGACATTTTGAGAAAACTTTTCTATGAAATTCTGCAACCAAACACCTCCTAAGACTCCCAAACTTTTTAGATACCTCGCCCATAAAACCAGGGGTAATTTGAAAATAGATTCAGAAAAATTTTAAAAAAAACCAGAGTTAATTGATGTTTTCTAACTTAATTATAAGGGATTTTCTCTCAGAACGGTCAAACTTTTTGAGAGTAATTATAAAAATTAACCTAATTATTCATATTCAACTTACACCCAATTTTCTTATAATAAATGCCAGTACTGGATACAAATCCAAACAATATCCAATTTTAGATCTGTGCTTAAAATAAAAAACTTGATTTAAACCTGCTGATCCATGTGAGACATTTTAAGAGAAGTCATCTAGTTAACCTATACATTTTAAAATACTGATGATAAACACATAATAATGACTTGATTAAGTTAGGTAATTAGGAGCTTTCCTTGAAGTTTCATATACAGATTACGTCCGTCACAGACATGCGTTAATGCCTATTAATGCCAACCACCAAGATTAGAACAATATTAAATTAATGATCGTAACATGGTAAGCAGCTAAAATAATGAACGTATTATATTAGTGCTTAGCTAATGAAAAACTAATACACAAGCATATAATATTTCCTAATCTTGTGCAAAATTATCTGTGACGTTGGAACATTTTGTAGTGCATGACTCGTACCATCAAGGACAAGCATCACGGTATTGGGTCGTCTCTGGTCAATTAATGCGACGGAGATATAGCCAGATCTGGATCAATTTATTATGTCTTAATTATATAATTATTATGTCTTAATGCAGAATCAATTTAAAGTGCCACATGATGACATGACTAGAACTTAGACTCGACCAAAAAGTTGGTTGCCATATTGCGTATATTTTCTTAGTCGGTCCGGATTGTGTATTGGTGTTCTTTTTAATTTAAAAAAATTACTCAATGACCCAAAATATGAGACCAACAGAGGGAACATGTGAGGTGTCCCCTTCCTATTGCATAATGAGTTGATCATCATTAATGATGGTCAGGTTATTATGCAATAGAATGAGGACACCTCACATGTCCACTTTGTTGGTCTTATATGTTTGGTCCCTGTAGCAAAGCTCATAAATGAGTTTAGTTTTCAATCAATTATTGCTTTTTGGCAAATTCTGCTCAATTAATGCCTTAAGCACCCAAACAATCCACACTGATTACACGTGTAACTTAGGAAAACACACATTAGGCGCGTGTAATTTAACGAGGGCAGTATGGAGAGAAGTTGGAAAAAAATAGCTGGTTGAAAACCAAAATCACTCATGAGATGGTTTACGGTATAAAAAAAAAATCAAATGTGGCTTCTAATCGATTTGACCTATTTTAAAACTAATTTTTATGAGGATAAATTCTCGTTTATTCTGCAAAAAACATTTAGATGTAATCTGTATCTGGCATAGATTTGAACTTAATTCATGTTCTGTGTACATTTTGATTATGCTTAAAATTCTACTATTACCCATTCCAAAAGAGACTTTAAAAAATTCCTATACCTGGTACAAACAATCGTCGTGAATTAAATAATTTTAAATTTGAATTGGGCAGCCGCAGCTATAATGGCATGCAACGGCTGTCGCAATTATAAATTATTATTATTATTATTATCGGTTTTTCTATAGAGTGCCCTTGGGCACTCTATAAGAGAGGAGAGAGATAGAGAGAAATGAATGAAGAGAGGATCCCAATGCAAATCAGGGGGGCCCCCTCCTCATTCATTTCTCTCTATCTCTCTCCTCTCTTATAGAGTGCCCAAGGGCACTCTATAGAAAAACCGTATTATTATTATTGTTGTTTTCTTTTTGAGATTGAGTTTGTCTTGGACCTATTTCTCTTTGCCAAGAGAAAAAACAAAACAAAATAAACACCAAGGACTATATTTGGTACTAATGCCACAATAGCGTCCAATTATTATTGTCTTCTTCTCTTTTGACTTGAGGAAAAGTTGGGAATAAAATCCTCATACATCAACCAAACAAGGCATAGAATCTGACCACAGACCCCCAGGACAAAACATCCGGTAGGACCGGTACATACACTTATGCATATAAAATAATGATGGGCCTTGGGCTATTATGAGTGCTATTTTGGACCTTGGGCCATTATGAGTGCTATTTTGGACCTTGTGCTCATTTTGAAACATCTTAGGCCTACCCACAGAAACACTCTGGGCCTATCCGTGCCCATTTTTTTATTCCTATTATTATGATCCGAGGCGGAGGACGTCAGAGTTGCAACCTGAGGACGGAACCTTGACATTTGATTCTTTCCACATTACTTGTGATATTATATATCTTTATTACCAATAAAATAAGGCTCTACAAGCCACTTCTAATAGAGGTTATCATTAATTAGTTCGTTATTCCATCCATGTTTTCCAAATTATTATTATTATTATTATTATCTCTATATTATTTTTTTAGCCCTCAATGTAACACCTTCAAACTTCAATAAGAAAGGCCCAGTGGGGGTAAATGCCACGTCAGCTTATGAGAGAACAAATGGTATTTTCGCAACTAATGAATATCTCTTTTATATTCTCGCACTAAAGTTTGTTAATTAGATGACTAATAAACAAAGTCGACTTGATTTGTGACACCGCTACAAAGCACTAACGCGTGTACAGTCATATGCACGTTAGAAAAAGTAGGTATCAGAAAGTATTCACCCATAATTAATATGGTTCATGTGATTATTTAAGTTTGCAAAAAAAAAAAATTAAA